TCACTCGATCGGAGAAGGAAAAAAAAAGAAAAAAAGGAACGTTGATATCGCCGAAGAGGATCGCGCAAGCGTCCGTTTCCGCATTCACGTCGCGGTCCAACGGTCTCCAAGCGCAATTGCCGACGCGTCTCGAGAAATCGAGAACCACCGGAAGCTATATCCGGGACCGTATTAACCCTTTGCACTCGAAAGTTTTTCAGTAGGAATATTCAACATTTTCTAATAATATATAGTCAATACTTCTTAAAATTAACCCTTTGCACCCGAAAATTTTTGAATAGAAATATTTAGCACATATTCGTAACTCCATCTGATAGAATTATATATTATTGCTCATGATTCATAAGGAAAAGAAAAAAATTCCAGGCTCTTTTTATATGTATACTGTTGTATACACTTATTCTGAAATATCGCAATGAATAATAAAAAAATAATACTTAATTTGGACTTGGAAAATTTAAGTGTTTCTTATATTTATTAAGTTATACTCGAAATCCTCGCCACGAGATTAATACGATATCGTAGGGCAAGGGGTTAATTTATCAAGAAATCACATGTAAATTACAGAAGGAAGCTAGTTTATTTGAATATTTCACGTACTGTTGCAGTATACGAAGCTTAATGGAAGGTAAACACTGAAGTTTATAATTTTCATTTATCAAATCATGTGGCGTCTGAAAATTGTTTCTTGAGTGCAAAGAGTACAATAAATGTACCGACACTTTGTATACACCTATTTCTACCGGTAAGCAGTTATAGAACTGGTTAAAAAATAGAAGAGAACGAGTCCGACGATAGATTCTTCTTAGAGGAAACAGGAACGAGAGGAGACATAAATACTGAAAAACTGATTAATTAGACAATATACGAATTCGTATAAAGTTAAATAAACGAGGGAAAACGCAGAATTCTAAATCGAATTTTAAAACCGGTTATTTGACCGGTTACGTTACGTTTAGCGTAAAAAGAAAGATGGAAGACGAAGGCTCGTCGATTTTTCGCGCTGACACACGTTTCCGAATGATTTCCGGTCCCGAGCGAGTCCCAATCGTTACACGATCGCAATTAAGCGGCTCAGATAAGTGTGCGCAAGAAAGCATTACTTTCTCCGCGGCCTCTGCGTAGAACGGACGCCTGGGATTGATTCATGCGCGGTTTGATTAAGTGCAATTCAAAGTTCGCCGTTCGTTTTGACAATAAATATCAAGGCGTTCGCAGCTTTATAGATACATAAATTATTCTAAATAACTAGGAGGATCGTTGGTACAGCTACGAGTAAGCTGTAGAAAGTTTCTCGGGTCATAAAAAATAATTGATAAAAGGAATAATCTTTTTATGTATTGCTCGTTTATCAAAAACAGGTGTCCGGTTCAATGTCAGTAATAGGAATCTGTTAATTGGTTCAAAGGCGGTCCTACCAATGCCTTGGTAAACCGATGAAAAAACTTCGTTAAACTTTTAGAAGATTTACGAAGGACCGTATTAAACTTCACCAATTTATTTATAAAAATTCAATACTATAATTAATTTCTTCTACATAAACAAAAAGCTTTTGTTTGAAAAAATTGAACGGTAACAATTTTATAGATTGAAAACATGAGTAGAGAAATATAAACATGAGTAACGGTTAACTAGAAGTTCGCATATAACGCTGTACACCAAGAAAAATTGTGCAATAAAGGGTTAATATTTGAATAAAATATTCAATACAGTTTATAAGCAAAAATATAACCGAAATTACCAGCGGCACGAAACGTGTTAGACGAAGATGTCCATGCCAATGGGAAGTTCAATTTAAGTTAACTAAAGTGTACTTTTTATTGTGCAATCATTCGAACCGACGCGACGTTTAACGGGCCATCATTGTCAATCATTGTTCCCTTCCGTTATGTAAAAAGTTATGCGATACGGGAACTGCGAGTTACAGCGATACATAACCACGAACGGAATACGAAAGTGTGCACGCCGCGGTTCGTCTTATTAAGCGAGCCCCGAGACTTTCGTGAAAGTGAAAAAAATCGCGACGATTCCGCCATGCGTGAATCATAGCTGTGTATGCAGCCATCGACGCTCCTTCCTGCAACGGGATCCCATGTACTTCCGGTTTTCTATCGTCGCTTCAGTAATAAGAGGAAACTTTCTTCGTCCTTCTCGCCTCCTTTTTTTCTCTTTCTTTTTCTCTTTCCTTTTCCTTTTCTCTTTCTTTTTCTTTTTCTTTTTCTTTTTCTTTTTCTTTTTCTCTTTCTTTCTCTTTCTCTTTTATTTCTCACGTAACATACCCGACGTCACCATTTTGTTAACTTTTACTGCGATTTTATTTTTCTCTTTTAACAATTCGATCACCGCGTGCATGGACACTTACGCGAAATATCGACGAACCCTTGAAACACTTTCATCAGGATCGATGATGGGAGTTATTTAAAAAATTACATGCTTAAGCGTTACGGATATAATATACGCGTTACACGGCGCTAGTACCGTCTCAGTTATTCAATTTTTAATGTATTTGCTGTAACTGCGTTTATAACACCTTTGTTGTGATTAGGATAAAGTGTAACGAAGAACATGGAAGGCTAGTACAGAGAGTTTAGAATAAAAATTTTAAATGTCATAGATATATATAGATATATATATATATATATATTATATATTATATATTAAATATTAGAAAAGAAGATACTATTTGTATAAAAAGTATTGTAAGAAAATATTGTATAAATTTAATATTTTCCTTTGAGAAAGTATTACTACATATTAATATATTAATATTATTGATGTATTTCTTTCAATTATTTGCATACCTTGTACGCGGGAAAAAACATTCTGTTTCTATTCCCCTTGAAAATACGATACCGTGAATCATTAATTATTTCCTATTAGCGAATCATAAGTTAGAAACCGGAACTTTTCATAGCTCGTAACACAAGACTGCATTCGTTTCGTGTTAAAAATATGTTACTACTTAAGCGAATGATTCAAGGTGTAATATAGATATGAAAAACACATTTCAGTTATAGGCGATTCTATATTTACTCCGATAGAAGAGGGCAACATAGTTTCTCGACGGAATTACAGTGAAAGCAAGGCGCATTATAAACGGCGTTGCTTCCATTGAAACGCTCGCCGGGCCAGCATTTAAATAATATTTACTCGACGTGGCTGCCACGAAGGACAAATAAAATCTGGCCGCTAGGATACTAATTATCGTATGACATTTGTACGCAAGAAACGCGTTCCGGCTCTTAAACGTCAATAAAATGGCCGCCGTTTATCCTATGCCGGAAGAACGTGCTAGAACGTTGTAAACGGCCAGGAGAAGGATCCGTTTGGAAATTCGCTCTCACTTCGGTAAGATTAATGCGATTCGTTTCTTGGAAGGAAATATAAACGCGTTCCTTTCTACAACTATTTACCGCAGTTAACCGCGGACTCGATTAATGAATTTTTCATGCGACATCTGTCCACTCGTTTTGTGAATGATAACATACTTGACATATCGGAGGGACCAGAAGAAAACACACGTAGCTAGATTAATCAAAAACTGTTTATTATAGTTAATAATTAATTGAAATTGATAAATATTTAAACAAAATTCAGGTTATTAGTGGAACCATATTAAATAATCGTTTCCCCTTGTTCTTTAAAAACTGACAATTGTTACTGTTAAAAAGTCGCTCGAGAGATTTCACGTTTTCATTGTCGTTTCGTAGATACGCATTAAATATCCGAAAATATTGGATAGGAATTACTACATTTTTTTTTTAATGATTAAAACGACTAACAGGTTCAGTGGGATGACAAATGTTATTGCCTTCTAACTTTCCACTTTCAAACAATAAAATCAACAGCTCAGAGAAAAGCTACCAGAACTAATGTACCCTTATTTCCGAGTTTCCAAAGATGAGTAGTTTTGAAAAAAATTACATCACAAATTACCATCACACTAATGAAGAGATCATTAGTAACGATGGAAATTATATTATGCAGTAAACGTTAATGAACCTACCTAAAACGTATCATTTTCTTTTCATTAAAAAATGAACGGAACTTTCAGGTGAACTTAATATATATGATCGCGAAAGTGTTAACAAGAAATTATTTCGAACGATCACTTTCCGCGGCTGTGTTCGCCAGCCCTTCAATTACCGAAACAAGTGAAACGTTCTATCACAGTCATTGAGGCAGAACAATGTTCTCGAAAACGCCAGGCGCGAATGAAAGGAGAGTATATCCAGGAGTTTCCGTGACGGGGAGATCTGAATCGCGTAAATTCAGAGGCTGAAACCCATTATCGAGTTTCCCCCGCGGCAACCGTCCCCGTTCATCCCCGTTCGCTGGCTGGAGAGTGAGAGAGGGGCGGAGGGGAGCCTTTTATCCAATGCTGCGGGTGTCGGGGCGCGACTGTGAAGCGAAGGCAATTATCGTAGCGAAACTTGAACGTGGCGGCTTCGAGGTTGGTCGACGCCGAGACTCGCGCAACGGTGTGTGGGAGTGAGTGTTTGGCGTCTGATACGACGGGTCAGGTCCCGGGGGATTCTCAGGGACTCAAACGGGAC